CAGGTGAGAACTGCACATTTATGTAACTATTTCTTTACTGTTGGCATTCAGATTGTTTCCAATCCTTTGCTATACTTGCAGGGGTCTGACACACACCTTCATTCATTCAGTAAATAGTCACTCAGTACCTATGTCAATCATTAAACTGGTCCTGGGGACAGAGCAGGGACCCAAAACACAAAATCCTTGACCTCATGATTTTACATTCTAGTTAGGAAGATGGATAACAAGCAAGATAAGTAAAACATACTGTGAATGTATTAACAGCAGTAATAAATGCTGAAGGGAAAATAAAGGAAAATGCGGGTTTAAAGCCTGGGCAGGTTACAATTCGGGGTAAATTGACTAGAAGTGAATTTAAGAAGGGAACATTGTATTCACAGACTGCAGGAGAGGAAAACAAAGAGCCAATAAGGAGTCAAGTCCTTCTTGGGAGTTGGCACCATGGGCAACTCTTTCAGGTGCGTGGGCTGGAAGACAAGAAGAGCCACTGCTCCCCACCCCTTCCCAGAATAGACCAGCTAATCCAGAGAAACACAGGCTGCAGTGATAGCTATTGAGGTAAAATACAACTCAGTGCTTGTAGTGTTTAGTGTTTCACTGACTTTGCAGGTCTAAAGCCAGTAGCCTGACCATCTATTCAGAGGATAATAATACCACAATGTAGTATCCAAGGAGGAATCTCCTTCTGAAGGTGGTGCCATTGTTAATTCCTTATTATGTTGTTTTGAAGTCCTGTATCATTTTCATTGTTTTGTTTAGTTAGGTTTTATTTTGTTTTGTTTCATTTTATTGTATCTGATGGCATGGGTAACTATTTCAAAGATAACAAGATATATTATGGTTTACTATTATCTTGTTTTGAAGTCCTTTTTTGCATTCATTGTTTTGTTTTTATTGGTTCCCTTCCCTTCCCTATTCTGCTCTGTTTGATTTGTGCTATGTCTGAAGGTATCTGCAGCTATTTTGAAGACAACAAGAGGCATTATGGTAACCATTGTTGATTTCCTATTGTTTTGAGGTCTTATGTCACTTACACTTGCTTGTTCTGACTGGCTTTATTCTGTTTTATTTTTGCTTGGTTTAATTCTCTTTAAAATAAAAATTACAAAGAAGGAGGAGGAGGAGAAGGAGAGGAAGACAAAGAAGATATTGTAAGTGAAGCCTAAACGAAATGAGGTCCCTGATCACATGGACCTGTTGGGAAAGAACGCTCCAGGCAGAAGAAACACAAAGACTCCAGAAACACAGCTACCGGCACAGCTGGATTAGGAGTCGTTCAGAGTTACAGAACGTTCTGATACTCACATCTGCAAACAGATGGTGACTTTAGCTGGACCTTGCTCATTCTCTTCTTCATTTCTGAAGCGCCTTTTCTGCAATGAGATTTCACGGAGCTCCCCTGGCTTGAAACCCCTCCCTTGCTTCCCACTAAGGCATAAACTCCCATAAGACCCTGCATTATTTGGCCACTGCTGCCGTCTTCACCCTCAGCTAGTGCCACTCTGTCTCCCTGTCTCCAAGCTCCAACCCTCTCCCAGCTCCTGCGCTTCAAGAGCCTCCCCACTCCAGGGCCTGGGTTCCCTGCCTGAAGGTATCTGTTCTTCCAGAGTTGCTGGCATAGCTGGCTTGTTCTCAGCTGCAGGACACATGTAAATGTCACCTCCCAGAGTGTTCTCTCTTAATCACTCGTATGGTTTGTGTCTAGATGTCCCCACAAAGCCTCACGTGGTCCTAGGGCCTTTTGGAGGTGGCTGAATCTAGTGTGTATGACCTGCTGGGATACATGAAACCCACAATGGCTGGGAAAAGAAAAACAGAAGCTGAAGATATTTTTAACCACAGAAAAGTAAAGTCACAGCTATGAAATTCTTTTAAAAATTCTTTACGATCTGTGTCAGCTAAATTCTACATCACCACCTAGTCTAGCTAAATAGAAAACTCCGGGTAAAATCTATGTGATGGCAAGGAGACCTCCTAAGTTATCAGTCTTAGTTCTCTTCAGGCTCTACAGGCACCTTGCCTGTGTTCCCAGAAGGTCCAGGGCAACTCACAAAAGCCTTCTCAACTATGGTTTATTGCAGGTTTTAAATACGGTTTTGGCGCCCCCTGGTGTGAAACATGGTTTCAACTCCTCGCACTGAAAGTCCTTTTAATACTTAACAGTAAAAAACCGAAGTCTAAAATAATTTTTACCAAAGAAAGTATGAGTAGCTAATTACCATGTAAAGTTCACATTTTTGAAGTCATAATAAAATTTTAATTAATTTCTAGAAGCATGCAACAGGTGAAAATCACTGACAATCTCTGCTTTATAAAATGTGCTAATTCCACTCCAGCAACTTGCCCTGTGAATACACTTGTGCCTGTGCAAAATAACACTAAGACCAAAATCAGTCAGTGTGGCAAAACTGTTTACTGAGGTGTTGGAAGCAGCATCAGTGTCAGGCTATACAAGAATGGTGATTTAGAGAATGATTAACAACAGAGTATTGTGTACCTGTAAACAAGACAAAAAAGGAAGAAATACCAAAGGGGCTGATATAGAATGATTTCCATTATGCATCAGGGAACATAAAACAGAATCAAACAAAAATAAAAACAAAGGTACAGAACTATGGCATTTTGTTACCACTTGAGCTTCAAAAAGAGATAGCAATCGTGTGATATGATATTTATTTGATAACAATCATGTATATTTGTATTGGCTCATGCATTCATAAAAGCAATCTCTTGAAGGATATGCAAGAAACTAATATTACATGAATACTTATTGATGATGGGGTGGAACACAGATAGATGTTGGATAATGAATTTCTCGGCATGGTTCTTTATTTTTGAATTTTGCTTTGATTATTCAAAGTATTAAGCAACTTTGGGGGGGGGTACCAGGGATTGAACTCACAACCTTTTATTTGCTTGGCAGGTGTTGTGCTGCTGAGCTAAATCCTTGGCTGCTAGACAACTTTTTTTTTTTTAAACTAAAGCCTTTGATCAAAAGATCAAGAAGGACAAGAGCCTTTACTTTTAAAAGATCAGACAAAACATAATTTATTGGGGAAGTTCAGGCGGAACGTTATTGGGCACAGCCTATGAAGAGTGATAGTAGCTGCATTTACAGCAGCGATCTTGTGCTCAGGAGTTCAGAGGCCCAAGGCAGGTGACACATGGCATTGGTACAGACTGGATTTGTCACAAACTTTCCAAATCCAGAATTCCAGATAAAGTGTTTTAACCTTCACGTGAAGATGATGAAAATTCATAGCATCCTGATCAACTGCACATTGCAACCAGAATAAAAAAAATACAAAAGATATCCATTCTGGGGGAAAGATACAATAGAGATTCTTGGATTAGAAAAATCATGTACTCCCCAAATCCAGAAGAACCTCCTTTCAGTGAAGACAAAACTGAAAGCAGTTAAATATTTGATAATAATCAAGGCCCCAAGTAGGGTATGGTGGCTCATGCCTGCAATCCCAGCTTTTAGGAGGCTGAGGAGGAGGATTGCTGGGAGTTTGAGTTTGAGCCTCATAATGACTTCAAAACCAGCCCAACCTGCATAGTGAGACTCTATTTTAAAAAACAAAATCAGCAACAACATAAGAATCAAGTCCCTGAAGCTATCACAAGAATTTCCAACTGCAGAGAACATGTCTAACTAGTGCATCAAGAGCACAGGACACTCAGAGGCCTCTAAATTCAGGACAGTACCCTGAAGTGGCAAGATTAGGGCACGGACAAAAAGTCAAGCTTATCTGCACTGTTTTACGTGTTTAAAAACAACAAAGTCTGAAACCACAACAATGGCAAAAGAGCATGGTGTGGTACATCTAAATGGCCGAAGCACAAATACGCCTTACAATACTCTCCAGATTAGGAATGAAACTTTAATTATGACAAAGAATAAGCAGCTTCTTCCCTCCGTTTCGTTGTCATCTCTCCATGCATTCATCAGGTGTCTTGAGAATTTAATCTCCGCCAGACTACAGAGATAGCATTGCAGGTCACAGCTGCAAAGGCTCTTTTTTCTCAAGCAGTTTTTATTCGCTTGAGGGCGCATTTGCACCAAAGAGCACGATAGAAGGGATTGTGGAAAAGCGAAGGGAGGCCCAGAGGCGAAGAGGCCTCTCCTGTCTGGAGGAGCCACAAGCCTACGGAGCACGGTGCTGCGGGGTCTGGGGGTAGGGTGAGCGGCTAGAACGAGCATAGAAACCAGACACAGACTGGGAGGAGTCGAACTCGCGCTGTACTGTAGACACGCAGCTGGAAACCAAGGCGCTGCTGGTGTTGAAACAACCTTCTCACCCTAAACAACGCCAAGAGACAGAGTTGTGATCAGACCCCGGGTTGACTGACTTCAGGGGGGCCCGCCCTTGGCAGTAAAGGAACGACCTGCTGCCCACCCTGCGAGCGCATCTTTATGGGCGCTCGTACTCCAGTCCTAGCTGGCGTTTCCCAATCCCTCTCAACCCCAAGCCGTCTCCCCAAACACCGTCCTTCTCTCTTACGCAGCCCAAGTCCTCTTAAAAAGCAAGGGGCAGCGGAATGTGGCGGGGCACGCTTGGAATCCCAGCACTCTGGGAGGCTGAGGGAGGAGAATCTAGAGATAAACGCATTCTGGGCAATTAGGCAACTGAGCGAGTCTGTCCCCAGTAAAAAGTATGAGGATGTAGCTCAGTGCGAAGATCCTGGGTTCTATCTCTAGAAGAGACGGAAGGAGAAAGGAAGAAGGAAAGAAAGACGGAGGTGCGTAGGGAGGGAACAACAACAACAACAAAAAGCGCGCGAGGGTCCTGTGGCCCGCGAGCGTGAACTACGAGACTACAAGCCCCAGAATGCGAGACTGGAGTCAGGTTAGGACCGCTGAGTGGACCACAAGGCGGAGCTCTGCGAGGGGCGGTACAATTGCTGGGTCGCCTAGGCAACGCTAATGCGTGACAATGCACTTCCGCTTCCGCCTCTTGGCCGAGAGTCTGCGCAGTCTCGCTGTCGTGACGCCATTCTCCTGCGACTGCGCGAGTGCGGAGGTGACGCGTCTTGACCTCTCCCCGGCGGGAAACCGCAGAGCTGTTCCTTCTCTTCGGCCTGTGTTCTGGGAGCTGAAGGAAAAGCGGCAAGATGACGGACCGCTACACCATCCACAGCCAGCTGGAGCATCTCCAGTCCAAGTACATCGGCACTGGCCACGCCGACACCACCAAGTGGGAGTGGCTGGTGAACCAGCACCGCGACTCGTACTGCTCCTACATGGGCCACTTCGACCTCCTCAACTACTTCGCCATTGCCGAGAACGAGAGCAAAGCGCGAGTCCGCTTCAACTTGATGGAGAAGATGCTGCAGCCCTGCGGGCCGCCCGCCGACAAGCCCGAGGAGAACTGAGAGCCGCCCCGCCTGAACTCCGCGGGCTGCCGTCTTCCCGGCGTCTTCCGGCCTCCTCGGACCGCTCCCTGGTGCCTCCGGCTTCCCAGGCTTCGCGTGTATGGACGTGCGTTTCCAGAGGTGTCCCTCCGACCTGCCTTCATGTGCCCTTTGGACACGGCCCTGAGAGACCTCCGGGACCCGAGAACCGTGTGGGTTGAGAAGTCCTGGATTTCGGGAAGCGTTGGGGAGGGCTGCGCTGGACTGAGACGGGACTTAGAGAATGGCTTTTGGCTTGTCGATGCCGTTGTCGCTGTTTTTTCATAAAGTTTAGAAATGGCTCAGGCTCCTGGTGTGAACTGCTTGTGTCGGTGGAGGGGTTCGGGGAGGACGCTGGAACCAAGGTCTGCTGAGAAGGGCGAGTAGGAGATGGGGACAGGGCACAGGGCCTGCGTTCATGATCAGGCCTGGAATCACCGTCCACACTTTTATAATTTAATGTTACTCCACTCCGATATCGTTCACGAGTGTTGTTTTCAGGCCCACGGTGCCTTCCAAGTTTTGAAAATTTTTATATTCCATTCTCCCATTTCAAAATGGGTCCTGTCATTGACCTATTGTAAGTTGAATGCACCTACTTGGAAACGTGTGACTTCAGAGATGACTAGCTGGCAGATGAGTTATTTGGTTCATTCAACACTGAATAAATATGTGTTGAGTTAGTTGTGCATACCAGGCTTTTCTCCAGGCTTGTGGGGCTTCCATTGTGCTAGTCGGGGAAAGGGAGGCAAAACAAACTACACTGGAACAAACGTTAGGAAATGCCAGGAGGTGAGGCAAGCTGGTAAGGTTCCTGTTTTAAATAAGATGCTCAGGTTATTGAGATGATGGCATTTGAGGAAAGACTGAAGAAGGAAATAGCCCTGCAGAAATCTGTGGGAATTGCCCCGAAGCTGGGAGTGTTTGGCTGATCTGAGGAACACCAGACGCCAGGGTAGCTTGAGAGAGAGCGAGGGGGTTAACTGAGCGACAGATGCTGTCATGGAGGGGGAACCTGTAGATCCCCGTAGGCAAAGACAAGGACATCTGAGGGAGGTGAAAACGGTCATTGAGGGTTTTTAAGCAGAGAAATGAGCTGGCAGTTTTGTTTAGTGCTGCTGGAGATCACTCCAGGAGCCGCGTCCCTAGCCTCTGTGGCTTTTGTTTGTTTTGGGGACCAGGTCTTGCCAAGGTCCATGCTGGGCTGAAATTTAAGATCGAGTGTTCTAGAGGAATTACAGGTTTGCTGCCTCTGACATTTTTGCTCACTGGTCCTTAAAACATCCTGACATTTAAACTCCATTATACTTTTAAAATATACATTGATGTGGACTGTATTGTATTGTATATTTTAAATACATACTTATTAATGTTCATCACAGTAGGAATTATGGCAGGAAATTTGCAAGAAAGCAGCAATTCTTGTAACAATAACAAAGTTACATATTACATAATGAAAGCAGTTTTATGAAAAATAACTTCCAGAACAATTTAATGAGAAGAATGGCTTTAAAAAAAAAACACTTTTGGAGATGTCTTTGACACCGGAATTAATAGGTGATTGGGTTCTCATTTTCTGCGTTTTTATTGTTGGTATAAAAAGTTTTGGTTGAAGTTTGAGAAAATCTGCTTTTCATGAGTATGTGGTTTGGGAAGACTTTAGCCATTTCAAATAATTATATGTATTATTCACATTTAAGCAAAAACCAGTGGTAGTTTCTGAAAGTACAACATGGAATCTATAGCTCAATCAATGAACTTCACATTCTGTAAGCTTCACATTAAAATTCCTTGGCTTACCTTGAGCTCTGGGTAGATCACTTACTCAGAAATGATTTAGAACATCAAGCTTCAGTCATTTGGATTGGAAATCATTATCTCATTGAATAACACAGGTCTTGTAAGTGTTGGATACTTTGTGCTAGTGAAAAGGTCAAATTCATTAATACCACCTCTATTTCATCAGGAGGTTCTGACGGTATCAATAAACAGAAATTCCCAGCATTGTGTTTTCTACGGGTGTTAAATTTTTGCTTGAAAATTTCAATTTGATTATTAGCAGAAAATAGTTCATTTTTCTTTAAGTGACAGGCCCACTTAATTTGTTTTTAAGAACATGATTATTTCTATCAAACACCCAAATCTGAAAACCGGCTCATGTAAAACTGATGTGTCCTTAAAAGACAATTGAATGCTTTCCCCTGAGGAATCCATCACTTAATGGGAACACTTTATGTGCACGGCCAGTTTTGTCACACAAAGTAGCAAAAGACAGCTCTTCCAGGAGTACAATTTCATTAAGTCAGTAATCTTCATAGCTTCGTTGATGTTCTTAAGTGATGTGGTAGGCTTGTCTTGTTTTAGCTGCTTTTATTGAGAACATGACAATCCAATGATTACTATACAGTTTTGTACCACTCCCTTGATTTATGTTAGTAATTGTACCACTTTTCTACCATTTATGAAATTAACAATGAAAAGTATACATGATTTTATTGTCCTTTTCATTGTTAATTTCACAAACAATAGGAAAGCAAGTGGTACAATCATGTATACAAGTACTTTTGACTTCACAGATTCCTTGACATTCTTATCATTTTTACTTGGAAGAATGAGCAATAAATTATAGTTATCTACACCTGAAGGTTTAGCAGACATTTTTGTTGAAAATGAATGAAATGGGCTGTCACTTTCAAAATATCAATTGAGTGCTTTCAGAAGAGCCTTCTCACTGCACTGTTGAGAATAGACAGGTGAGGGGCTGGGGATTTAGCTCAGCGGCATAAGCGCCTGCCTTGCAAGCAGGTAGTGGTGAGTTCCATCCCTGATACCAATAAAAAAAAAAAAAAAAGAATAGGTGACATGAAAGAAACTATAGTCCAGATATATAGCTCAGAGGCAGAAGTGCCTGCCTGGCAGTGCAGGACCATGAGTTCAATCCCCAGTACAAAAAAACCAAAAAACTATTATAATTGTTAGCAATTAAATCAGTGTCAATAAATAAATAAAAGTGTTAACAGTAATGCTGTTTCCCCCTTACCTTAAGGAGTTAAACTATAAATCACCATCCTTATAAAACTTGATAAAGATACACAAAGTGTCATTACAGTGAGCCCTATCCAAAGCCATACCAGACAGACCAAGAAAGATGATGTCTTGAATGCTGAAAGAGAAAAAGATCTACAGTATGGGATGGCATATGTGAGTAGTACATATGTTAAGAATTGCAAGAATTGAAAAGAATGTTAGTAACAGGGAAAGACCTCCAGTTAATTACAATTTATGTTGTTAAATTACACAATGGCAAAGATTTTCACCCATTAACTAATGCATCTTAAGTGTCTGGCACATTTGTTGGAAACAGGAAGATAGTGTATTGCTAATTCATGTACACAGGCAGTCTTCAACTTGTGTTAATTATCTTTCTGTACATGTGAAAAAGTCATATTCATTAATATTACTCTTCGTTCATCAGAAAAGTGTTACACTATCAAGAAACCGAGAAACTCCCAGCACTATATTCTCTACATGTATAACACAGATCTATCAACTGTGCCGAGAGATAATAGCAAAGAAATGAGATATTTGAAGACATGCTTCCTATCATACTAATACTATTTAAGCATTTTATCTTATTTAATCTTTGGAAAGTACCATGTTTATTTTATAGATTAAAACTAATTTGCGGGGCTGGGGATTTAGTTCAGTGGCATAAGCGCCTGCTTTGCAAGCAGGCAGTCATGAGTTCGATCCTGGGTACCGATAAAAATGAAAAAGACAAAAAAAAAAAACCTAATTTGCAAAATCGCAGTTTGTTATCTAAGCCTGGATTTGAACCAGGTCTGTCTGGTTTCATAATACAAAATCCCCAAAATCCCACTGCCCAAGTAGATCAAATATATAGAAATAATACCAGAATAAGTTGATGTCAGATACTGTCTCCAATTTTTAAAAATGGAAATATTAAGAGCTTAGCAGATTATATTGAAGAAATATCAGTATAAATAATACAGGAAGGAATATAAGAGATCTCATATAACACTAAAAACTGTTAGCTTTGAAATACGTTGAATAAAGATAAGCACAGAAGAAAGAGTAATCTTGTATGGAAAAACTTGTATCCAAGAATCTGAAAGTAAGGTGCACCCCAAACAAGTGTAACTGCTCTGCTGTTCCATGGCTCTTCTGATGCAGGGAAATGATATCTGTGTCAGACACAGGAGGGCAGCAGATGACTCTGATGGAAATTGCTTTGGGAAACAGCTTTACACTGTGTAAATTTCAATTTCAGAAATGAAATTAGCCGTCTTCATCTTTATTCACATGAATGTTGCAATTAAGACGCCACTTGAAATACCATAAAGAGTTAGGCATTTTTTTCATTTGATAAATTTGTAGTGATCCTTTTCCGGATCACTGCGTCAGGCTCGCAAGAAAGAACGAGACACGGGCTCTGCCCTGGAGAGGCTGCAAGTTACAAAATAAATGCAGTAGCACTTAAATATAGCAGCAAGCGCTAAGTATCCAGAAAGGAGATCGAGACAGGGCGGAGGGAGGAGTTTTCAGGAAGTGAGCCTAGCAAACTGCCAGGACGGTGGGAGAGACGCTGTTGAGAAAGGCTTTGAGCAGGACCTTGCATAAGAAAGCAGAAGGTGCACTATCAGCACGAGGGCAGAGTGCTGGGAGTCTCTGGGGGTATAACCAGTCACCCCAGAAGGGCAGGAGAATTCAAATCACCCTTTCCTACTGAGGAACCACTCCACTACTTCTAATGACTTCTTCCAGTGCACCCCACCTCCCAGTCTTTGTGCCCTGCTGTCACAAGGCTAGAAAACCAGTCTGAGCCCTAGGATGGTAACGGCACTGTAAGAGTTACTTTTATTGAGTGCCTACTATGCGCTAAAGACTGACACACTATCTCAAGCTCCACAAGAAACTTGAGACAGTTGTTATGACATCAATAAGCAACACAGAGGGCAAACTAAACGGTTTGCCTGATATCAGTCAGCAAGAAAGGGAAGAACAAAGACTTACCTTCAGGTCTCCTTCCAGCATCCGGGTTTTTCATAGGTCAGGGTTTAAAAAACTGTGGTTTACAGAAGTCTAATAGTTTGAAAAGTTATTGGCAGCTTTTTGGATGGAAAGTGGAGTTGTTTTTGGTTTCTAGGAATGCTGTGAGGACAGTATTGGTTAGATTCCTTTGAGAATTGCCTCACATCTTGGGAGATGCTTCAGATCATTTAACATTTTACAGCAAAAAATTTTAATTCATCATTTCCTACACTTATCTGACCTTAGAATCCCTTT